TGTGGACGATCGTCCCGGGGCGGAGCAGGGGCGGGGCGTCCGTGCCGGGGCGGAGGATGAACTCGCGGAGCTCCTCGTGGAACAGGGCGCCGCCGCCGCCCTGGCCCTGCCCCGAGGCGAACCGCGGGGGCAGCGCCTGGAGCACCAGCGGGCCCCCGTGGCGCTCGTGGGCCGCGATGCACCTGTGCCGCTCGCGGCCCCAGGCGCCGCCATCGCCCAACGCCCGCCGCGCGCGGAAGCAGATCTCGTCGATCTCGACCTCCACGCCGGGCCACCCGAGCTGCACGGCGCCGTTGCGCCAGGACTGGAAATCGGCCACGGCGCCCCGGGCGTCCTTGAGCCAGCCCGAGACGAGGCGCTCGTGGTCGAGCCAACAATCCATCGCCAGCTCCTCGCTCGAGGGCTCCAGGCTCTTCGCCCACCGGCAGAGAAGCCCGGCATTCTGGCGCAGGGAATATTTCCCGCACCAGATCTCGGCGTCGAGCCCGACGGCGTGGGTGCCCTGGCACCGTCCGCACCGGTAGGTCGCCGTTTCGTGGCGCGCGCGAACCTCCCGGCCCCCGATGTTCACGGCGTGCGGCCCTGCGCCGCGCCCCGCCCCCCGCGGGGCCTCAGCGCGGGCCGCGCGCGTGCCCGCCCGGACGCGCGCGTCCTGCTGGGCCCCCGGCGCGCCGCAGTCGGGCGCGTCGCAGGCGGCCCTCTCGGGGAGGATGCCGCAGTCCTCCAGGACCTCCACGACGTCGCGGCCCTCCATGTCGGAAAAGACCTGCAGGCACAAAGCCCGGGCGTGCAGCCCCGAACGCGCCAGGTGGCGATGGCGCGCGCGCCCCTCGGCCGCCGGCCCGCCGCACGGCACCCTGTCCGCGCGCGGGCGGATGGGCCGGCGGGGCCCACAATGCGTTACTCGCAACTGAATATGGTTGGGTCCTTCGCCAGGATAATTTCAAAATCCTCGATCTCTGAGGGTTGGAAGTGGGACAACGTGAGAAGGCGAAAAACATTGGAAAACCATGGGGGATCAACGATTTTACCCTCTTTGGGCTCTCTCGGGACGGTTCTCGCAGCTCTCTTGGACTGTTCTTAGAGCCTCGTCGGGGTCTCTTTGGGGCCTCTCAAGGATCGGGGGTGTGTTGGGGGCCTCTGGGGGGTCCTGGAGGCCTCTCGGAGGTTTCTAGTGCCTCCTGCTCCCGCTCTTGGGCCCGTCTTGGGCCTGTTCTGGGGTGGTCTGGGGCTGTGCTGGGCGCCTCTTCGGCAGTCTTGGAGCCTTCTTGGCCCGTCTTGGGGCCGTCCTGCGGGTCTCTTGGGTGGTCTTGGGGCGGTCTTGGGAGGCACTTCGGCGTTGTTGGACCGTTGGGCGCTCGAAAACGTGAGAAGCCAAAAACATTGACAAAAACCATTGGGAATCTACGACTTTGGCCTCGGGCCGTCCAGTGACACCTATCAGACTTCTCTTGGGGTCTCTTGGAGGCCACCTGGGAGCCTCGAGAGCCGTCGGAAGGCTGACTTGCGCTACTTGGGAGCGTCTTGGGCCATCCTTTCGCATTCTGGGGGCTCCTGGGGGGCGTCTCGGGCCCTCCTGGAGCGCTGTGGGGGCTCCCCGGAAAGGCCGGGGGAACGGTGCCGGGAACGTCCCCGAGATGTGGCGGGGAGGCGTGGAACCCGGGGCCCGGGGGGGGCGGCATTGATCCATGCATGCACATATCTGTATATATATATATAGAGAGAGAGAGAGAGAGAGAGAGAGAGAGAGAGAGAGAGAGAGAGAGAGAGAGAGAGAGAGAGAGAGAAAGAAAAAAGAAAAAGAAGAAAAATAATAATAAGAAGAATCAGTCCTAGCTCCAGGGGAGGCCCCGCGGGGGGGCAGGACGCGAAGATAGCCCGGCTCACTGGCACGTGAACCGCTCGAACAACTAACTCTGCGCGCGAGCCCCATTCGGAGCGCGAAACGGCAGTATGATGCCATCCACGAAATCCGGCTTGTTCGGCGTACCGACGTAGCACGCTCTCCCACTTCATCCAAGGGCGGCGCGACGGTCGAAAAGGCCTGTCGTAAACGTTGCGCATGGCAGCCGTCCAGTCGCTATCCCTCCATTCCGTAACTCTCCAAACCCATGGGTGCACTGGGGGCCTTGCCACGTGGCCCGCCCAAAGCCACTTCCGTCTGGCGTGGGCCCGTTGCCAATCGCGGACGCCTGCGCGCGCCGCCATGTGCCGAGCTTTCTGGGTCGCGCGCTGGATCCACTCGTGCCGCGCCTCGGCTGGCGCCCGCCTGAAACAGCATATGCGTCGTAATATGTTGTTCTGGGTGGCCGTGAGGGTTCTGAACTCCTCTGCCCTCGGTGTCCATGAGCTCGCGCCATGCAGCATGCAACTACCACCCGTCGCATCGAAAAGCCGCAAACGTCGGGATAGGGGTGCCTCGTTGTTCGTCAGCAAAGGTTTCATAGACGAAACTTTCGCCGTGACAAAGCCGTGCGGTGGTCGAGCTCCGCCGCCGTGACATCCGTCAACGGCAGCATTGTGCCTAGCACTTCCAGGCTCTCCCCCGCCTCGAGAACGCCCACTGAGAAGCCCTCCTCCAAAGTGACGCCCCCGCGCTAGATTCCTTCCAACTTGTTGGTCTGCACCTTGCATTTCGACGGGTGCAAACGCAAGTCTCGCTTGGCCAGCGCGCCCCGGAGCGCGAGGACCATGCGCTTCATTGAAAACCAGGGTCTTGCCACCAGCGCGGCGTCATCCGCAAAAACAATATGTGCAAGACATATTCCGCTCCAAGTCTGCCCCACCAGGGTGCCGCGCCGTCGCCTTTGCCACGCTACTTCCACTTCGCGTAGAAGATCTGCCATGATCAAATTGAACAGAACCGGGGATACAAGGTCGGCTTGTCGCACCCCTCTCTGCGCCTCGAACCGTCTACGTTCGACGCCGGCCCCTAATTTGACGTGGGCCATCATGCCTCTGCACAAGCTCCTCAACACTCCCACCAAGCCGGCGTTCGCGCCGGCGCCCATCAGCGCCTCGAACAAATGTTCGCGGGGCACTCTGTCGAATGCCTTTTCCACGCCAAGGGCGGCCATCCAGAGTTCTTGCCCCGCTCGGCAGATTTTCCACAACCATGCGTAGTACATGTAAGGCATCGTCGCACCCTCTGCCGCTCCCGAAGCCAAACTGTTCCTCGGCGAGGTGAGCATCGATAGCCTCTTGCAGGCGCAAATGAAAGATGATGCTGCAGAGCTTGGCCATCACTGGGATGACCGAGATGGGTCGGTAGTTCGTCAAAACCTTCTGGTCTCCCTTCTTGAAAATTACCGTCAGGCGCGCTTGCTTCCATTCCGTTGGAGGCTCCATGCTGCCCTGGATGATGTCCGCGAAGTACGCCGCTATGGCCTCGAGCAGCCCAGTATGCTCAGTGCGTGACAGCTCCGCGATCAAGCCATCGTCAGCTCCAGTTCGCCCATTCTTCATGCGCTTCAAGACCAGGGAAACTTCTGCTGGTGAGACCGGGGGCATGGCGCGTGCCAGTTGCTGCTCTTCCTGACGGGGTTCGTGGTTCGAGCCGTCCGCGCTGTAGAGGTCCTCGTATAACTGGGCGAAGGCCTCCGCGATGCCCTCGTTGCCCTCCACCTCGCAGCCGAATCTGTCGCGTGCCTCCCCGACTCTGTCAGCGCCAGCGTGGCGTTGTTGAGCACGTTGTAAAGATTTCAATCCTTGCCCGTGCTGGGCGATCTCGCTGATCTCGCGCGCTTGACGCGCTCGCCGCTGCCGACGCAGTTCTCTCCAGAGGCTCTTCGATAATGCCTCCCTCCTGTCGGGGTCGTGCCCCTCGCGCCTGGCCCGAAATAAATGCTGAACTTCCTCGCTGCGTTGCTGCTTGGGCGTCGGCGCTGACTCTCCAGAGGCCTGGGCTGCCTTCGCCACAGTGGCGTTCGCCCCCATCACCGCGCAGCGCCCCTGTGCGAGGCCCTCGGTCGACAATGCATGAAACTCCGCTGGCCCCCCGTACTCATCCAAATGAGGCTGCCATCCGCGCGTCGCCCGAGCTCCCTTCCTCCTTTGAGGTGCGCTCACTGATGCGGCTACGCGGACAAAAACTGCTCTGTGATCAGATTGCCAATCCAAATATATCCAAGTGCCGGCTGCCCCCTCTATGATTTTGGGCCGCTCCTCCAGCAATATGACATGATCAATCCGGCGTAAAACAGAAGTGCCGCGCAGTCGATGCGTTCGCATATCACCCCGAGACGCCTGAAAAAGAGAAGCTGCTGGGACCAAGCGAACGCCGTGCAGCCGATAGAGAGCTGATGTCCACGCTCGTTCCGCGCTCCAGTGCCATGCGGGCCAATAATGCGACGATCATCTGCCGCCGCGCGCTGCCCAAGCGCTGCGTTCGCATCGACTCCAACAACCATTGCCCTCTGTTCTCCACGCGCCTGCCCCAGCAAGCCCTCCAAGTCCAATAATGCTGCGTCGCGCTCGTCGTCGGGGCGCTCCGCGCGAGGGAAATGAGCAGCGGCAAAACAAAATGCATATTCACTCATGTTAAAAAATGCTGCCGCGGTGGGCGAAACTATTCGAAAACGCGTCGTCGCCCCCGCCCGCGCCCGCTTTCGACGGAGCAGAACTCCCGCGCTTCGCTTGTTGCGCGCCGACGGCGACCAGCGCCGCAGATGTCCGGACTCCAAAATCTTCTCCGCCGTCGCCTCCATCATGGGGCTCCCCCGGTACAAAGACGTCCCAGCGTGAACCGCTGTCCAAGATGTCTCCTATATCTGTTATTTTCCCTTCCCCCATTCCACTAGCATTCCAGCTAATAACCGCCCAGGACTTGATCACGAGCGCGCTGGATGTTTCGCCCTCCTTCCTGGATCCAGAGAAATCAGCCGGCGCAGTGGGCACTGACTTCGTCGTCGCTGCCCATTGTAAGATCGACCATGGCACATCCCCGCGAACCTCGAATACCGCCCTCGCCCCCCTCCCTGGGGGCCCTCTGGTTCCTACTCTTTGCCGTGAAGCTCGTCGAACTTCCCCTGATGCGCCGCCGCGTCCCCAAAGAGCTTCATCTGGCCGTCGGTCCACACTGCTACGCGCTTCTCCTTCCACCATGCGATGCCCTTCTTGAAATTCGCGTCGATGTCCCGCTTGATGGAATCTCCGCCCCCCCCCCCATTCGCCTCGATGATGGTCCTCGCCACCTTCCGCGCTGCTTTCCCCCTTCCTACCTCCTCTAAGCTCTGGTCCTGCCGCTTAGAACCCACGTTGCAGTAGACGCGCTTGCCCTGGCACTCGCGTCTGCGCCGGGCCGCGGCTCCACCGATGTAGTCCCGCATGGATTCCGCCGTCTTGAGTCGTGCTCCTCCTCTTTCTGCGAACTTTTTGCCGCGCGCGAGAATCTCGCCCAACTCCCCCTCCACCTCCTTCAAAGCGTCTCCGATGAAGGTCACGATCTCGGTTGCCTTAATATCTTCCGGGAACGTGCCGAAAGTGATCGTGCGCCCTCTTTCCCCCTCCCTCCCCGCGTTCCTCCTGCTGCCCTGTCTCGTGCGTCCCTCCTGTTCTGCGTTGGCATTGTGACCTGTAGCTGTTGCCGCCCATGAAGAAACACCCTTCGTACCTCCCTTCCCCTTCACCTCCTCCTTCGCGATGTCCTTCACCATACTTGGCAAATCCACCTTCATGGCTTGCATCTCCTTCGTAATGCTCATCATCGTCTTCATCATCTCCTTCTCGCGCCTGTCCTGTCCTCCATGTCTTCATCCAATTCTTCCGCCTTCTTATTGTCATCCCTCTCCTGGTCGTCCCTGATCTTCGCCTGCTTCTTATCCGGAGCCTCGAGGCAGCTGCCCTGCGGCTTGAGCTTCCGGCCACTGCCATCCGCGGGCGCCGGTGCATCAGCCATGCCGGACATGGCACGCCAAGATGTTGTAGATATGTTGAGCCCCAACTCGCCTTGAGCCTTGAGTCTTGAGCCTCAACTCGCCTTGAGCCGTGAGGCTTGAGCCTTGAGCCAAAATGGTTACGCGAGAGAGAGAGAGAGAGATTTAATAATCACGCGTGCGGCTCGCGCGCGCTGAGGTTCTAGCGCGTCACAGACACAGGAATCGCTGTGCGAATAAATGTTTGGAGTTTGTCTCAGGCAAGTGAGGACTCCAGTGGCAACACCTGCTTGAGGCACCGCCGGGGACGGACCCTGTGTAGAGTGTGTAAAATCGGACCAGCTCTCTGGTCGACCGTCTTGGGCGCGCCCTGGGGCTCTCTTGGGCCGTTTTGGGGGGCCCATTGGGGGGCTGTTTCGGTTTTTTTTGGTGTTTTTTCCGGTTTCTTGGGGGCCTCTTGGGGCTTCTGGGGCGCTTCTTGGAGCCTCTTGGGGTCTCCTGGGGACCTCTTGGGCCAAAACGCTCGAATCTTCGGTTCCTCGTCCCCGTCTTGGGTTGGGCGCCGACTCGGGGCGTTCTTGGGCGGTTTGGGCGTCTCGTGGGCCGTGTTGGCTCCCTCGTGGGCCGTCTTGGAGCCCTTTTGGGGGCATCCTCGACCGGCTTGGGTGCCTCTTGGGCCGTCTTGGACGCAGTGAAGCCCAAAAGGCGAACACGCCAAAAATATAACTTTTACCATCGGAAATCGACAATTTTTGTTTACTTGGGGCTCTATTGGGATGCCTATTGGGGCGTCTTCGGGGCCTTTTTCGGTGTTTTTTTCCGGTCTCTTTGGGCTTCTGGGGCGCTTCTTGGAGCCTCTTGGGGTCTCCTGTGGACCTCTTGGGCCAAAACGCTCGAATTTCCGGTTCCTCGTCCCCTCGTGGGCCGTCTTAGGGCCCTCTGGGGGCATCCTCGACCGGCTTGGGTGCCTCTTGGGCCATCATGGACGCAGTGGAAGCCCAAAAGGCGAACACGCCAGAAATATCACTTTTACCATCGGAAACGACGATTGTTGTTTATTGGGGCTCTCTCGGGGTGCCTCTTGGGGTGTCTTCGGGGGCCTTCTTGGCGTCATGGGGGTCGTCTTGAAAGGCGTCTGGAGCCATTGCTGCGGCCTCCTGGGGCCTTTTTGAATATGGTTGTGCACCTCTGGGACCCCTCTGGGGCTCGTCCTGAGGCTCTCTTGGGCTGTCTTGGGGGCCTCTCGGGCCGTCTTGGGACCCTCTTGGGGTCGTCTTGGAGCCCTCTTGGGAGCCTGTGGGGCAGTCTTGGGGGCCTCTTGGGCCGTCTTGGACGCAGTGGAAACCCAAAAAGCGAACACGCCAAAACTATCAGTTTTCCCATCGGAAATCGACGATTGTTGCTTATTGGAGCTCTCTCGGGGTGCCTCTTGGGGCGTCTTCGGGGCCTTCGGGGGCCTTTTTGGCGTCATGGGAGTCGTCTTGAAAGGAGTCTGGAGCCATCGCTGTGGCCTCCTGGGGCCTCCCTGGAGCCTCTTGGGGCCCTGTTGGCCCCGGGTCGCCGAAGCCCTGTAAAAAAACAAAGGGAAAACGACGCCCTGGCCCCACATTTGCGGTCGTGGTCGCGGCCCCTGGCCCCCGCACCCGGTCCCCCGTTATATGTATATATGTTTATGTCGATGCATCTCTCTCTCTCTCTCTCACTCTCTCTCTCTCTCTATATATATGTATGTGTATATATATATATATACATACATACATATATATACATATATATATATATGTATATGTATATGTATATGTATATGTATATGTATATGTATATGTATATGTATATGTATATGTATATGTATATATGTATGTATATATATAATATATATATATATATATATATCTATATATATATATCGGAGGTGAGGGGGTGAGATCGAAGTGGAACGGAGAGCCCCCCTACCGGGAAATCGATTTCGGTTTCGTGTTCGTGCGTGCCGTGCGGGCGAGGCGAAGCTGCGTGGGCGGGCGAGAAGAAAGTCTCCTGTGGCTGAGGCGCGGCCGGACCAAATGTCTCCCTTCCGGGCGGCCGGTGGCCCGCGGTGTCCCGCCAGTGTCCCGCTGGTGTCCCGTGTGGCTGAGGCGCGGCCGGACCAAATGTCTCCCTTCCGGCGGTGTCCCGCCGTGTCCCGCGTTGTCCCGCGGTGTCCCGCGGTCCCGCGGTGCCCCGCGGTGTCCCGCCGGTGTCCCGCGGTGTCCGCGATGATGAGATGATGATGATGATGATGATGATGATGATGAGATGATGATGAGATGATGATGATGATGATGATGATGATGATGATGATGATGATGATGATGATGATGCTGATGATGGTGATGATGCTGCTGATGATGCTGATGCTGATGCTGATGCTGATGATGATGATGATGATGATGATGATGATGGATGCTGATGATGATGATGATGATGATGATGATGCTGATGATGATGATGATGATGATGATGATGATGATGATGATGATGATGATGATCGAGTGAGATCGAGTGTGAGATAGATCGAGTGAGATCGAGTGAGATCGATTGTGAGATCGATTGTGAGATCGATCGAGGGAGATCGATCGAGCGAGACCGATACTGAGATCGATAGTGAGACCGATCGAGTGAGACGTTGGTTCCTCCCCCCCTCAAACCTCCTTATCACTCGAAGGGTGGTCGTATAGGTAAATATATATACATATATATGTGTGTATATGATTGTGGGTAACTACAAAAGGGGAACTTGGAGGGAGGGTGTATTGCAACATCGTTGATGCGTATTGACTTTACATCGGCCCTCCTCCTCCTCCTCCAACTCCGTCGTCCTCCCTCTCCTGCTCGTCTTCTTCGTCCTCCTCCTTATCCTCCTCCATCCCCCTCCTCCTCCACCTCCTCCTCCTCCTCCTCCTCCTCCTCTCCCTCCCCTCCCCCTCTTCCCCTCCTCCTCCTCCTCCCTCCTCCTCCTCCTGCTCCTCTTCCTCTTCCTCCTCCTCCTCCTCCTCCTCCTCCTCCTCCTCCTCCTCCTCCTCCTCCTCCTGTATCTCTATGAAGGAAGTCCATGCAAAACTGCTGGCAGTGGCCGCGCGACGGCACAGGCAGCACCCTTGGAGAGCCTTGCGCGCGAGGTGCTGCAGCGAGCCCAGCGCGACCATCTGGATGTGGCTTTCGCGCAGCATCATCACCTGGCGCGGCGTTGGGAGCAAGGAGGACGAGGACGAGGACGAGAACGAGGAGGAGGACGAGGAGGAGGATGGAAGAGGAGGAGGAGGAGGAGGAGCAGGGAGGAGGGAGGGGGAGAAAGAGGGGGGAGCGAGGAGGATGAGGGGGGACGAGCAAGGAGGAGAGAGGAGAGAGGGAGAGAAAGGGGGCTGGGGCGAGGAGGACGAGGAAGAGGACATACAAGAAAGAAGGACGGACAAAGACGGGGGGAGCAAGGAGGATGAGGAGGGGGGAGAAGGGGGGGAGAAGGGGGGGGGAACGAGGAGAACGAGCAAGGAGAGACGAGGGAGCGGAAAAGAAAGGGAGCAGCCTATGGTCAGGCGGGCGCCACGCCTGCCCCCGGACTCGCGCGGCAGCGCAACTGGGTACACGGGGAGCAGTTGCACGGGACGGCGCGGCACCTCCCCAAGCCTGGCCTCTCGCTCAGGGCTTCCGGGGAATCTGTGGCCAGCATGAGTCGAAAGTGAGCCTGGTAACTCAAATGGGGCATATAGCCGGGCAAATTGCATCCATCGCTCTGCTGTGAAGGTACAGTATGAGGGGTGGATGGGTAAGATAGGATAAGATCGATGTAATGATCTTTCCATCACATAGCGAACACTCGCGGTGTCCGGGCAAATAGGGCGCGCGTGCCTTGAGCCCAAGGCAGCGGCGCGCGAACTATGCTCCCGATACTGTAACATCTCCCAAAGAGCTACCCTTAAAGTCGGGAGGGGAGGAGACGGAGAGCATAGTCGCACGCAAAGATCGCGCGCACGACTGTTTGCAAAGAAAAGAAAACAGTGCGTACAGTCTGGTCAAACACCAGACTGTAAGGCGAGTTTCCTCGCAAAGTATTTCACGCAAATACAGGACAGCCCCTTCAAACAATGAAGGGCTATCGGCTTAGTTAGAGGTAAGCCAAAATTAGGCCATACCTCACCAAGCAAATGTGTATCAAGGCAAAGAGCCTGAGTTGTACGAAGCCGGCTCGTTGCCAGGCGTGAAATATAAGGCTCGTTTCCGAGCAGCTAAAGGGGCGCCTTTATAGTAGGCGCCCGCGCTGGCAAACTGGACCGCGAGGGCAACAAGGACAGACTAAAATTGATTAGACTTAGGTTTGTCTCTGTCCTCGGGACCCCGAAAGGGAACAAATTGCTTCACGTCATACTTAAATGACTGAGTGCCTGACATCACTTCCAGAAGCAGCTCCCGATCGATGCTTCCCTTTGTATGCCCATCTGCGGTCATATCCCTAGTATCACACCATTGCACATTATGTACTATACCTATATCCATGAGCTCACGTATCCAGCTGATATGTCCAAGCAGAGTCCGTTCTGTAGGTATTTTGAGATCCCTGCTTGATAAAGATTTGTAGACGGACTCAGCGTCTATGGTAAGAGAGACTTTGATAGCAAGGCCTCCAACTTCACGCATGTCTCGTAGTTGTCGTGGAGTCAAAGCCCCTGCCTTAAGCTCGTGGAGAGTAATGAGCGTAGGGTAACACTCATCAAGGTTATGTGCGGCTGCAAGTGCCTCCGCAGCATAACTGGACCTCACCTGTAATCGGTGTGATTTGCATAGTCCGTCACAGAGGTGAACGACGGACTTGCCTTGAGGCGAGTTTCCTCGCCGTAGTACGTTGGCCCCGCGTATGCCGTAGCCCTTGGTCTCGTCATCCTCCTCCCCGGTAAGCTTCCGATACCCCGAATCGCTATGGATGTCAACTTCATTCGTCGGCTTCATCCGAGGGAAGGTGATACGTTTCGGGCTGCTGATCAGCTTTCGCGTCACAGCATTCAAACGTCTGACTTGCAAATTGGTGGGCTCTTGAATTTTCTGAAGAGAGACCACATATACCATGAGCCAGATTTGGGTAAGAAGGGCATAGGCGAGGGCTCCTCGCAGGCTGACGAACATGTCGGCAATGAGTTTCGTGGCTTTGGCGTCGGCCGCCGCTCCTGTAAGTTCTGGGTGTGTGGTAGGACGTAGTTGTTTAATGTGCTCGTCCTGGTCCATGATCACATCTCCCTGATCATTCTTAGTGTAGCGAACGGCGCAGTTCGTATATGTGTGCTTGTTGAGCTTGCATTTGCCAAACACCTTTTCGACACGTTGTACATAGTCGTCTATATTTTCTCTAGACCTGTCATATTAATATCATCGACATGTTTTGCCGTCAGAAGGTCTTGGCTGAATTCAAATTCAGGATCGTAGCTGGTCGGCGTAAGTCCTATAGCTCGTGTGGTCGTACGAAATTTGAGAGAGAACGCTCTTGGAGCGTCCTTAGTACCCGTTCCTGGTTTGAGGCATCTAAGACAGTGTCGACTTTCGTCGTAGGATGAGAAGCCGGGTAATGTACGAAGTACCTGAGCGCTTCCTGGTGGAAGAGTAAAGCAAACCATGCGAGTTTCCTCGCCGGTGGCATGGGCAAGTTCCTCATAGGTCAAACCCTTGAGGAACGCCTTATCGATATCCATGGATGCTAAGATCCACTCTGGATGGCATGCCGCTTCACTTGCCAGGAGTCGTTGGGACTGCCTTCGGGCGGTTCCCGAGAATGTTTCCACATCAAAAGCCTCAGTATCCATAAATCCACGAAGGACCAGTCTGAGACGAATGGTCTTAACGTTCTCGGTACCCATCTTTACGAACTCCCAATTGTATACATATCTGGATGTCATGATGTTGGAAGCTTTGGATAAATCGTACATCTCAAAGCATCGATTATCAATCCAGATTTTGAGCTCAGTATATAAGGCTTCACTAACCTCCTTTGGATGTGCTGCTATGTCGGCTTTGGTTAGTAGATCATCTTCTTTGACAACCGCAGCACGTTTAGCAGCAGAGGATACATATACTCTCATCGTTGCGACCATATCGGTATCGAGCTGTGCAAGTTGAGTCTGATCCAACACTATTTTAGACATTTCTGATGTAAAGCATAGTTCAACGTAAGGACCGTATTCATCACTGTCTAGAGAGTAGCTCTCGTCGGCTGTGTTTGAACAAAGAGAGACTAGACAGGACTCACATGATTTCGGCTCGTCTCCGAGCATATCTGATGATATAATATCATCTTCGTCCACAAATGCTGAAACCAAAACACACTGGTCGGGCAGCATAGTTGTTGGGACGCAATAAAGATAATCATCGGTAATCGTCGTAGGATGAAGGTCCATACGTAGCTCGTCGTACCACTCTTCCAGCATCATAGCTTCAATATTGTGTTCCTCATTTTCCTCATAGATTGTCGACAGACGGCCTTCGCTCGGCGATGAAGCGTCTGGTGTGTCTGGAGAAGGCCTGTTTCCAGGCGACTCGTGTTCTCCAGACGTGTTGCTTGGATGCTGATATTTAGCCAAATCGTCGTGAAATCCTAAGGAAGGGACACGTGAAGTCAAGCATTGAATAAGTCTGGAGTGAGTGCTACCAGTGATCTGAGAAATGTTTAAGCCAGTGCCCACGCATTCGTAATAGTGGAACGCCGGGCTGATGTCGTTGTCATAGTGGATCAGCGTAGACCCGGTGGCGTACTTTACTGCAGGTAGGCTTGACACACTCTTAGCCAATCGAACTGCTACTACATGTTCTACTCGGAAGTAATTCCGTGCGAGATACTGTAGTGCTAAGTGTACGCGCGGGTGAAACTTGCTGTCGTCTGACAGATTAAGGTTTCCCTTGTAATCGGGGATATACCCGAAAACTTTGGCAGGTTTCCCTGCGCTGAGGTGTGCCACATAAGCAAGGACGGTTTGCATGGCCATATTATCCATGCCAAGTTCCCGTGTGAGGAGACATTCGATGTATAGTGTGTGACGAGCATCAGGATACATCACAATTACCTCACGAGATCCTGCCTTGACAACAATATGTCCTCTTTCAGGCACGTTTCGGATCACCGGGAATGGGCCGTTCCAGCCTCCATGGTCGTCCTTGGTGGCAGTAGGTCGGTGGTAGTCGACCAAATCCCCTGATGAGTAGAGGCGAGCACCATCAGGAGTCGTCTTAGCCCTAAGAGCCCGATTTGTCTTGGCTACAGCAGTAGCCTGAGTTATGGCTTCGAGGCTGACTTCCCTTACACGACGTTCTCGTTCGTGTCCTGAAGTCTCGGGTCCCTTGGGAAAGTCAAGGGTATCGAGATCAGGAAGGAAGGAAGGCTGACGTCCTGCGCGTGCCTGATATGGCGATACTCCGTTATAAAACGTAAACGCATTAGTAACGAAGATGCCTTCCGCCAATACTCAAGTGAATACAACAGGGATGTTGTGTCTATTCAGTTCTTCCTCAATCATGTGGAGGACGCCTCTGAGAATGCCGTTTCGTGACTCAATTGAAGTCGCGTGTTGGCCAGGTGCACGGATACGAAGTTCCGTGCCCTTATTGGCCATCATGGTTTTAGCGGCATCGTTATTCAGGGCGCCTTCTCCGTCTGAGTATAAAACTTTGAAGGGTCCGTGATAGGCAATCCAGCAATAGTGGTAGGCGTCGATGATGGCGTCACGTTCTCTGTCGGAAATCTCTAGGCCTGCTGCCAGGCGAATACAACGATCCATAATATGAAATATGGTCCGTTTCTTGTAAAACATGAGGTCCATTTCCCCTTCATCGAGCCAGTTACCAGGGAGGCTTACCGATGGTAATGTTGAGTTTCCTGGACGTTCCCATGCTCTACATTCCCGACAGGTATCGCAGATTTCCTTGATCATGTTCAGTCGAACGTTATCAAGCCCCACCTTTTCGAGGATTAGCCTCATCTTTGGCTCCTTCGCATGATGCCATCGCAGATGCAGTTTTCGGAGTTCCTTTTTCACAACATGGGGTTCGTGACTACGGAGACTCTGTAGACTGTGTTGGATGTCAAATCTCGCCCAGTCGGGTAGTCGTGGAGCCCCAGAGCCGGTGGAGGCAAGAGGGTTCCTTGTAGCTCTCCGCAGTTGATCCCCTGTGTTGACTGCGTCTGGAGGTAGTGGTACGCCTT